AACGTGAATATGGGAAGTGATTCCAGGATAAACCTTCTGCATTGGGAGCAGAGTTCCGATCTTCTGCCCTTTCGTCAGGGTCCCAGAGTAACTGTCCGGCTTAACATAGAACAGCTTGAAGCAGAGACCTGCCAAAAAGATAATGTGGGGAGATATGAGATTATTGTGAGATTATGAATTTAATGTAAGAAATCTTTTTCCACATGTCCTATAATAGTAGTAGTATTTTATGAAGCAAGCACTTTATTTTCTACGAACATGAAAGTCTATAAAAGTAAGTTGTGCTACATTGTTATTAATGCTTTTAGAGCATTAAACAGATGTGAAGATGTAAGTACAAACCTTCTCCGCTCAAATTAATGCCATCATTGATAGCATTGTTCTTTTTGTATGGTGCAGCTTTGCCGTTCAGCTTCACATCAAATGGAGCATAAACTGTGGCTCCATCAGCACACACAATGTCAAGACCCTCATGTGACCCGTGCGTACTGTCAGTGCAGCACAAACAAACATACACTTCAGAGAAAAGTAATCTGATGTTGATGACATCAAACTTTGTTTGTTCATGTGTGTCTTGTGCATGGCAGTAACAGAGTTACATGGGCCCGTGGGTATGAAGGTGCCCAGAATGCGATTTCAACCGAGGAGGCTCACAATTCCAAGCAATGCCGCTGGTCTTGTAGCCAGTCATTCAGTGAATAATAACTTGTTAGTAAAACTGCAGTAAAACTTATAAAACTGCCTTGTTAGTCTGCAAAATATTTTCTTTTGTATTCAACAGAGGAAAGAAAGTCATGTAGGTTTGAAAAGGCATGAGGGTGAGTAAATGATAACAATTTCTAACATCCTTTTTAATTAATATGTAAACTCATCTATGGTGCAGAATAAAGATCTTTGATAACACTGGGTTGTTGGGTAGTGCCAAGTTCGAGTGACAACATATTCCAAACAGAATAATGATATCAATGTATCATAGCACGGCCTGCACTACAAATGTGTAATCAATGATTTATGGAAAGAGCTATGAAAACATAACTTGTTTAAAAATAGCGTCATTTATAAAGGTGGTTAGAAGAAACACACAAATACACAATTTACCGTTTGGCTCCATAGAATCCGCAGCCTTCTTTATCACATCCTCTTTTGCTGTTAATTGGGTTACCACTGCAGAGGGGGCCAAATTTCACTGAAATGAAAAGAAAAGTGTTTTTTAATATATATATATATACAGTGGGTACGGAAAGTATTCAGACCCCCTTAAATTTTTCACTCTTTGTTATATTGCAGCCATTTGCTAAAATCATTTAAGTTAATTTTTTTCCTTATTAATGAATACTTTCCGTACCCACTGTATATATATATTAAACTCATTCCTGTTGCTTACATTATGCTTTCTGTATGTTTTTTATTTGTCTGTTTGTCTTTCCTGTCAATACCTTCACTGGCATCAACACGAGAGCCCCAAAGCACTGAAAAGGAGACACATTGAGACTTTAATTTGCGTTACTTTTTGTTTGTTACAACAGTGGTTACACTGAATTTTAATTTGCATGTTTACTGTTTTTGCAGTGTTTTACAATAACACACCACAAAACTTCTGTGAACTTTATCAAATCATATACTGTAATGCTCACGATAAAATGACATCTAAAGACTCATTTCAGACTAAATCTAAATTTTAGAAGATAAACATTTAAATATTAGATATATTAAATTGGACTAAATTAAAATATATATATATATTTCAAGTTTAAATAACATGGTCCAGTATTAAGCAAATGTCCATTTGGCAATTGCATTGTAATTTCTTACCAGCCAAAAGCAGAAAACTGAAAAGGATGTAAAGTTTCATGGTCCTGTAATTGTTTGTTCTCAGATGTTTCCTTCTCTGCTGTCGTCCTCAGTCTGTTTGGCTTTTTGAACTATGAGTTTTTATATCTTGTATGGAGTCCTGTGTAAATTTTGCTTTCAACGCCCACACCCACATGTTTACTTAGGGGCATATCCCACACCCAACCCTAAATGAATCAATTAAAATGAATCAATACATTTTATTTACTTTATTTTTATACTGTTTTTACAAATCAGGACATTCCCAAATTAGGTTTTGGGAGATTTTGTCAGGTTTAGGTTTAGCTCACTTCTGGACAAAAAGTTGTCTCATAATATGGTTAAGTAGGTAGCCTATACACACACACACACATATTTATAAACACAATATAATGTGTCAACGTATGCTTACAAATGTTTACCAAGGAGTGTTTACAAAAAGCAATTAAAGGCTGTCCTTGAGAATTCTCTAAATCCATAAATTATGAAATCACAATCTTCTGAATCATTGAGTGTGGGAAAGCAAATGAACAAAATACACTGTAATTAAGACAGTCATACCTTGCGTGACAAGAGTTGTGTAGCGTGTCTAAAGGCACTAAAGTAGCTTGTCACGCATATGTATCCCGATACAGAGGCCATGATACGATACGCAGGCCTATCACGGGACTAGACTAAATTTTACCTCAGCAGAATTTAGTAAAACAGATGTTTATTAAATACAGCCAGCAAACTGATATTTCCGTTTTGGGGATTACGTCTCTTTATATCATGGCAACCCCGGTTGTGTTCTTCTGCGGCCAGATTAAATCTTGTTGTTGTTGTAGCCTATATTTTCCACTCCGTTTTAAACGCTGTTCTTGTATTCAAATTAAGCGCGGTCCACTGCTGGACTACAGAAACAGTATCATCGTCGTATCGAACACAGCCCTTCACACTCATGTTTTTAGGGAGCCAAACAATTTCAGCCTATTGTTGTTGTTGTTGTTGTATTAGAATGCTATTTCACAATAAGTAGCCCATAACTAACTTTAGTAAATTATACATCTGTCTAAATTTCTTTCAATTTCAAGAGTTAAACTCTTTAGCTTTTATTTGGGCTTTGATATTCTTTGGTTTACAAATAGTGAGATATTGTAACTTATGTCCACTAAATGTTGGAAATTATGCAAATGCGAAAATAAAGTGCAACTGCCACACATTGCATTCCCAAATGCACATTAAATTCACAGTACATGGCATGCTAACATGGAATTTGCTGTGAAAGCAGCTCTGAGACGCTGAAAACACCGGATTGCATGTGATTGAACACAGTTCTGCTCTTTACTCCCAAACATACTTATTTACTTATTGAATAGGTCATGTTTCATCCCTTTTCACAATACACAGTTTCAAAGCAACTTTACAGAAATTTACGTTAATATTTTAATACCTTCAATGCCTAATTTTTGACATTTATCAGCTGGGAGATAGTACACACTCTTAAAATTGATGTGTTAAAAAAGTACACAAAATATGTGTAAAAGGACTGATAACACATTTTGTGTTACTACAGACACATTGTGTGTAAATAAACTGCTTAACTGTTTACACGATGACTGTGTAAAAACATTTAGCATTATTTAATATAATAAAAGGAATGTGTTTTTTTTTTTGTTTTTTTTTTTCCAAATAAGTCTACTTATGTATCTTTAAAAAATGGCTACTTCAGCGAACTAAACTAGTTAGCATATTGAAAAAATGTTGAAAAGCTTTTTAAGGCGCTGGAGGAAAGTGTCATGTTGTCTCCATTGTTTCGCCGCCAAGTTAGCTTGTTAACTAAATGTCTTCTGTAGGTCGGTAGCGAGCTAGCATGTTTGGTTTTTACAAATGTATGTTGTCAGGATTGTTAATGATTAATATCTCGCGAAAAGCTTAAAAATTGTGTTTATGGGCCAGTTGAATAGGGTGACCATACGTCCTCTTTTCCCCGGATATGTCCTCTTTTCCCCGGATATGTCCTCTTTTTGGACCTAAAAAAATGCTTCTGGCCGGGATTTCTTAATCACCCAAAATGTCCGGGATTCAGATTTTCTTTATCCCGCTCCCACTGAATTTCTGACCATTGCTGTCTGCTCCCGCAACATGTGTTTCGCTCCCGCGATTTTCGCGTCTACTGCTTTAAACATTCTAATATTGTGTATCATTTTGGCGCATCAGGGAGCCGCTCTCAGTATGGAAGTATTTAAATCTCTTTTGAATGAGCGTTCGCGCTGGTCACTTTCGATTTCGCGATCACACACACTCTGTGTAAAGGAAGCGCATCTTACAAGATAAGATATTTGTCAGTGAGCTCAGGATCTGTTAAGCAGCAAATACTCCATGGTCTTGTCAGTCATCTCTCCTTATTCTTGACCTGGCTGTGATCAGTCAAATCTGACTACTGCAGCTCTTTTTGGATGCAGGGTTGCGTTTGGGTTTTTTCCACAAAATTGGGCTACTTTTAAACTGTTGCCATGGGTTGATTTTCCCAAGTGGGTTAAAGGTTTGAAATATTGCATAAAATACATTTGACTGAAATGCCTGTATTGAAACATTTTGCATTCAACCTGTGATAAAATTTGCATGGACGTTTTCATTAACTGTTCCCTCCTGGTGGAATGACCTGCCCAACTCAATCCAAGCAGCTGAGTCCTTAATCATTTTCAAGAAACGGCTGGAAATACATCTCTTTCATCTTTATTTGACCCTCTAACTTTAGCACTCTCTATTCTGTTTCTATTCTAAATACTTGTTTTATTTAAAAAGAAAAGAGCATATAACACTAGCATTCTCTATTCTTTCTCTATTTTTTCTACTTATTTTCTTTTTATTTATTATAAATAATGACCTTCTAACACAAGCATTGTCTATTCTTTTTCTGTTCTATTGACTTGTTTTATTTTTATTTGAAAATGAGCCTCTAACACTAGCATTCCCTATACTTTTTCTATTCTATCTACTTGTTCTCTTTTTATTTATTCTAAAAACAAAACAAGCAAACAAACAAAAAAAAAATTGCTATGTATATGTTACATATGCTATTAGGTGAAACCCTGCCTCCTGCCCCGCCCACGAGCCCCGCCCCCCACTGTCCTCTTTTTTGGAAAACTAAAATATGGTCACCCTACAGATGAATCTCTAACAATCACCTCACAATTGCTATGGGACTTTTAGCACTACTTAAAAACTTAGCAACAACGTGCTATTTTGACTAGTAGCTAACTATTTAAAATATTGGCAACGCAATAAAGCCAATAATAGTGTAAATGGTGCTCATAATAATTATAATTATTATTCTTTTTTATCTAGGTAATGGAAGACTAGGACCAAATCATGGTGATTCTTAATTTTACACAAAGTGTTTGCACAGAGAAAACTTTTGGATGTGTTGTAGTATTGATCAGCTCATGCAGAGTACTGGGGCTTGACAAATTCCAAATATATTGCCAATGTCACCCAGGATCCATCAGAAGTAAGTGCTCAGTCGTTGCCGTTAAACTTTTAATGTCTTTCACTTTTTATATTCATAAAAGTAACGTTAAATGTAAACATTTAAACTTAAAACAGGCTTTTGTCATTTCTTAGTGTCATTCAATAAATGCAACCCATGACTGGCACCACAACTTGCCTGCTGACACTGCTTGAGGAAAAGGCCTAAAATCCTTAGAGGACATAAAGAGAGACACTCTAACTTGTTAATGAAGTTGCTTGTTAAAGTGACGCTGTCAGTGAAATTGTAGAGAAACATGGAATGTAAGTATATGGTTGTTTAACAGTTGTAAAGTGTATCTATTTAAAAAATACTGTCCAGAAATATTTGTAATATTAATATTCCTTTTATTTTGTTTTATGCTCCAAAGGTGGACACTGAATTTTCCAAGCTTACAGATGTAAAAGAAGACTTGTTCATCAGGAGGTGGGAATGGACCAAAGAAATATCATTATTGGGGAAGAAAATGGACATCAATCACTTATTAGAGAAAGCTGACAGTCAGCATGATGAAACGATTTTCTGCCTCTGTGATGTGCACATATTTATTATTTCATGATATAAAATTGTTCATTTCAAAGAGAATTTTGTTTTAAATTGATCTTTTGCATGTGTCCTATGTTTTTACTTTGTCAAGATGATACTTGGTCATCATCCACCCAACGGCATCTGGGAAAAGTGTTTCTGGCAGTTAAATGCTGTGGCAATTCTGCTGTCTCAAATTTGGAGTTGGTGCTGGTATGAATTGTTAATGTGTTTGCTTTTAATAAGCAAAGTTGCTGTTCAAGCAGAAACATTTTATGATACTTTTCATTTTTGTAGGCTGGTACCAGCATGACCTCCTTACTGCGTGAGTCCATGAAAGGGTCCCTGAAGTCAGCTCAGTTTGTTTCCATTGGTTCACTTGGACATGGAGCACAGTACGTAATTGTGGCGAAGAATAATTATGTTGCCCTTCCTTTCGATTTGTGTCAACTATCATTGAGATTTTGTCTGTCTGTCTTTTGACCAGGTTTTTGATTGAATGAATTGTTTTTAGGTGATCAGAATCCATTAGATTGTTGCATGAACTATATGTGTGTAATGGTTATTTTTATGTTTTGAACATATTTTCATGTTTTCAAGTATATTTCTGTTTTTAAAAACATGTTGGAGTACATAAGAACAATTTGAGAACTTGTTGGTATTTTACATGTTGTGAACTTGCAGACAATGTTCTATTTGACAGTGCTTAATGGATATATGAGTTTTATGGTATTTGATAAATGTTTTTATAAGAGGAGTGTTGAAGTTTTAATATTCTTGTTTAACAGTTTTATATTCAGCATACTGTAATAAAATGGTTAAATGAACACATAGTATTATAATTATTTCAATGTTAAACAGTATGTGCTTCAATGGTTCTTTGTGTGATTTCATAATAAAAGTATCTAAATTGTTAACAGACTATTATCTTTTATTTTGAAATTTCAAAATAATTGCTCAGTAACACACAGATGTGTAAGACACGTACCAAAAACATCACATTAATGTGTTAACTAAAGTGA